TGCAAATAAAGCATTTGTTGTTGTTACCTCTATTAAGCGGTCGCGGTCACCATTTGCGAAGTCCCAACGGGACTTTTTCTATTGTCTTGACCTGTTTTAAACGGTCACACGGTGTCAATTACTTATTCACACAGTTTCAAATACTGTAACACACGAGGTACAACAATTGATTTCCTTGTTTATTTTCGCAAATCATTAAAACGCCGGAAATGAATATTTCCATTTGAGGTCAAGCGTCTGATCTGATCAGCACTGGAGATCGAATTCTTTGAACTGTATTTCTTGCAACCTGTATTAGGCGGTCACCGGCAGATGCGAGCGCGGAACGAGTGACTGGTGATGAACTGCAAGGGACCATGGGAAGGGCAGCGGTCACCCTGTATTAAGCGGTCACTTAGCCATTCCCCAAGGGGGACCGCTTAATACAGGGGTACTGGGTACTTTCTGAAAATCGCAAAAATTAATACCCAGCAAGAAAAACCAACCTGTCCTAATCGCAAAAATTAGTCACCGCAAAACACAAAAAATCACCAATCCGCAAAAATAAACTTCGGCAAAAATTTCGTGCCACACGGTACGTCTGCGGTTCGCAGGGTAGCATGATCTGTAACATATAAAAGATGAAACGTGATCTATGACGTTAAAGGGTTATTTCGTAGAAAACACCAGAAGGACTAGTGCCATGATCTCAAAAGATCGAGTGAGTTATCAGGAATTACAGAAAATAATACTGATTTTTTCAAAACTAAAATTATTTTGTCAAAGGGATAACAAAGAAGAAAGGAAAAAAATGGTAAAGAAAAAAATTTGAATAGTTTTAATTCAAATTCTAAACATCAGGTAACCGACTAACCAATAGGAACCAATGACATATCTGAAGATTTTACCAACAACATAATTTAATCTAATTTTTTCCGAGTTTTGTGGCTCACAGCCACTTCGATTCTTACTGATACTTCACAATGCTGTACTTTTATTTACCCAAATTTCAGCTGCAATGACCCGTTACGACGGGAACCTGACACAAACTTTATGCGCAGATGAAAATTTCTTTTCCTTGATTGATATTTGCACAATACAAATTAATAAATATTATTGTTATTATTAAACTTGTCCAGTGAAGTAATCGCAAACAGATTCGATAAAAAATTGTTTCAATAGTCTCAGAATGTACAATTTGCGCAACTGCATGCTAACAAACCTTACACCATAACAATGAACATTATTATGAAAGTGCAAGTCTTTGTACAATGCAGCTAGCTGATACTTACATAGAGGATCTGGATTAGAGCTGAAAATTGGCCAACATTTCAGCTGAGAAATTAATGACTTTCTTTAACTCATAGCGGAGTTCTGAGGTGCAAAAAATTAACAGATGGCTGAGATATCGCCGAAAGTCTGGCTGATAATTAATATACGATCATACCCATGCAGGTTCTCCATGCTAATTCCTTTGTTTATGAACTGATTTTTTTATCATTACATGAACTAACTTGTTGCCAGGCTTTAACAAGGAAACCAGATCCGTTGCTTGCGTGCTATTTGTAAAACTCATCTCGTTCTTTCAATGTAAATGACTTGATCAAAAAGTGAGTAACTTTAATATTTTTCTTTGCCTTTTTTAACTTGCATTTTCTGGTTCTCTCCAAAAGAAGCGGAGAAACAAAGTAGAGAAAGAGAAAAGCGAACGATTTCAAACTTTCAATATGAGATACGGTTACCGTGTGCATCGTAAAGTTTTTTCTGAACAGATTCACTGATTTCATTACCAAGCCACAAACATTAGGTTTTCAGAGTTGTGTTTGTTTCAAGCGCTTTAGCAAGGGAGTCGTCACCAGCAGAACCAAGGTTATTTTTCAACAAACACAAATATGTCAGAGTTGTGTTTGTTTCAAGGGCTGTAGCAAGTGACTCAGCACCTCCAGGACCAAGGTTATTACGCACAAACCCGCCAAATTTGTCAGAGTTGTGTTTGTATTAAGCGCTGTAGCTAGTGACTCCGCAACGGCATGACCAAGGTTATTACGCATCAAACCCAAACTTGTCAGAGTTGTGTTTGTTTTAAGCGCTTTAGCAAGTGCCTCAGCTCCAGTAGTAGCCTGTGCCAGGCTCTCAGATCGTACAGTAGGAACGTATTAAAACGAGCAAAGCGAAAAGAAGACGCGCACGACTTGGGAAAGGGGGCGGTGGCAGGGGGAAAAATGGGAGAGAGAGCCTGTTAGCATTTCTTTAACGACCCTCTTCCGCCCATTTTTGTCACGTCTGGATTCGGCTGTCAAAACTGTTAACACTTCAGTTAGCTACAATCATTCTCAAGTTTCTCGCGTGAGCATTGCACGCGACGCGAACTCCTTGTGCAATGTGTGGAAATTTATGTCTTCGAATTCGTTATCCTGTGAGAGCATCCGTTTTTTGGCTCTAGTTTATAGCAATAAAAGGGGGCGGTAAGTTTTTTCCTCTGATGGGTACTGAGGTTATGCTCTGGAAGGTTCTACATTGTCACTGAGCAAATGTGACTTTAGCCGCTTGTTTCACACTGAGAGGTCAAGGCACAAAAATCGATTTACTACGGCGTTTGTTTCTAGTCGGCAGGATTTGCCCTCTGATGAGAGAGCATTTTCTTTGACCTCTAATTAGAAGCGTAAAGCTTTTTATTGCGGCTGAATAAGGGTTTTAATTTTCTCCAAAGTGCCTTCTGGATCTGACTAAGTGATTTTCTTTAGTCCGGGAATTAATGTAATATTTTTCTGCAATGTTGTGTCACGCTGGGCCCAGCTCGTTAGTTTTCTTTGAAGAATGTTAAATTATCACGGATAGTGATTTACAGATCCAGAATTATAAGAATGAAGTGCAGCTTAAACTTAAGCTACATCAACTTAGGAGAATTGCATCGTGACTTTATAGGAAACTCCAGCTTGATAGTGTTTCTCTGAAAATGGTGTGAGTCTTTTGACTGGAGCGCGTAGTTTCTACCTTGGTAAGAGCGGAATATTAAGCTTAACAGTCTTTGGACTGTTTTGTTATTGCCACTTTGTGATCAACCAGGACTCCGGATTACCGAAAACAATTTCGCACTTTCCTTCTCTCGCTTTCTTCGCGTCCTCCTTTCCCTCTTCACCGATGCCAAATAGTTGCGGCCGGACATCCAAGCTTCTTCAGTTGTTCCACTTGGTCTCGCATTATAGATATCAGCGGCGAAACGACTATTATGGCAGAGTTTTCTAGGATTAAAGCAGTTTTAGCCAAGCGTGGGAATAGCTGAAAGATTAAACTTTTGCCGAAACCGGTGGGCATAATACCGAAAACATCTTTACCGCGAGCCAACTCGCAGACACTCGTCTAAAGCACAAGACAACGCCGATTCATGAAGATCACACGCGCGATTCGCGTTAGCCATCTTGGTGATGACAAACTAATGACCACGCTACCAGGTGATGATGTTAACTGTCACAATTGACCAATCAGAGGGTATATCAGGAGCTGATATACCGGAACAGGCCGTTAAAAAAATGCGTACAGGCTCCGCCGCCCTGTCTCTCCCCAGCCCTCGCGCGTTTTTCTCATTTCTTATAACTGAACGACTTTCCACCACCATCTCGGAGCCTGGAACAGGCTACTCCAGTAGGTGCAAGGTTATTGACAGACAAATCCAAATTTGTCAGAGTTTCGGTTTGTTTTAAGCGTTTTAGCAAGTGACTCAGCATCAGCAGGACCAAGGTTATTGTCAGCCAAACCCAAATGTGTCAGCGATGTGTTTGTTTTAAGCGCTGTAGCAAGAGACTCAGCAACGGCAGAACCAAGGTTATTACGCATCAAATCCAAATTTGTCAGAGTAGTATTTGTTTTAAGCGCTTTAGCAAGTGACTCAGCACCAGCAGGACCAAGGTTATTGACAGACAAATTCAAATTTGTCAGAGTTTTGTTTTTTTGAAGCGCTGTAGCAAGTGACTCAGCACCAGCAGGACCAAGGTTATTGCCAGACAAATCCAAATTTGTCAGAGTTGTGTTCGTTTTAAGCACGGTAGCAAGTGACTCTGCACTAGCATGACCAAGGTTATTGACAGACATATTCAAATTTGTCAGAGTTGTGTTTGTTTTAAGCGCTGTAGCAAGTGACTCAGCACCAGAAGGACCAACGTTGTTGCCAGAAAAATCCAAATTTGTCAGAATTGTGTTCGTTTTAAGCGCTGTAGCAAGTGACTCAGCACCGGCAGGACCAAGGTTATTTCCAGACAAATTCAAATTTGCCAGAGTTGTCTTTGTTTTAAGCGCTGTAGCAAGTGACTCAGCACCTGAAGGACCAAGGTTATTTCCAGACAAATTCAAATTTGTCATAGTTGTGTTTGTTTCAAGCGCAGTAGCAAGCACAGCAGCAGCAGAATCACCTATACTTTCCCCTTCTATACGATCCTCGTCAAGATCAGCCTCTCGAATTTCTAGACATGCGCCAAAGTAACGTGCCAGTTCTATATGAAAATAACTGTTTTCAATTTTGCATTCTTTTATGCACTCCAGTGCGACAGGTAAACCCACTCTCACATCTTCCTCGTTTACCTCTTCCGCTATGCAGAGGATAAAGGATATTGCACTCTCTTCAGATCTTACTGCTAGCAGACCACAGGTAAATTTTAATACCTCTCTCAACTCTCGGAAATATCTTGTGTCACTGACTAATACAAAGGGACTGAGTTGTTCGCTAAGAAGCTGGCAACAAAGATGATATCCTGCGAAGAATTCTTGAAAACTCTTATGCGTGAAGCCGTAACACAGACACGGCCTTCGTTTGCTGCTTCCAGGTTGAGCTGACAGAAAGCCAAATTCAGGTAAGTCGGCATTTTCACTTGAAAGCCTTTTGTCCCCAAAGTACATGTTGTCTTCATACAGGCCGTCTAACGCTATCGAGCCAAGGAGTTTCAACTGATCTTTGTAGATTTCAATCAGATCCTCATTTTCGACTGGAAGACCTTTCTTTTTCCTGTATCTAATAAGAACACAATGTGCTATTTCCAAGTACAATTGAGTTCTGCTGTCAGGAAAATACCTTGAAAGTCTTCACAAAGAAGGCAAAGAAGTGCAGTGTTTAAAGGGGTTGCCGCCATATCTCTGAGTATTTTCTCATTATGTATTTTTTCCAATAGCCTTTCAGCCAATTCTTTCTTGGCGACAAAATATTTGTGAATAAATTCTTTGATATCTTGATAACTGAAACCTTCTATCTCTAGAAGGGTGTCACAAACTTTTCTTACGGGTATTCCAGCCTCGTGTCGCGCTGTAACCACCAGGTGACATTGAGGAAGCATTTTGCCTCGTATGATGTCGGTAAACTCCGGCCGTTTACTTGAAGGTAACTCGTCCAATCCGTCAAGTATCAGTAGAACCTTTGATTGATTTTGCCGAATGAACTCGAAGAATTTCTCCCTTTCCTTTTGATTAATTTCAGCTGGCAAAAGCTGATCGTCAATGGCTCCCCAAAGGTCGGACTCGATCTCGACATCACGGCATTTCAGCAAGAGTACCATTTCAAATTCTGGAAAGCAATCTCCTTCGTTTTCTATCTTTATAGCCCAGTCGTAAGCAACCTTATTGCAGTATGTCGTCTTTCCCATTCCTGGGTTTCCTTCAATCAATACTTTTCTAGGTTGTTTGCATTCTTCGTGGGGTTTGAAGATTTCAGTCGTTTCAACAACTCTTTGCTGCGCTGTTGCTCTCGCCTTTTTCTCTCTGCTGACCATACGAAGGCGTGTATAAATATCGCTGAGTTGAAAGTGAAAGTCTTCGCACCAAGAAAAAGGCGCGAGCCATCCCTCATGACGTTTGTACTTCTGGCGAATGATTTCAATATGCTCGGCCACCAAACCAGCTGTTGAGAACAAATGAGAACCAACTTTGTTTTAAATAGTTGTCTAAAACAGCTCGGTTTGCTACTTTCCAAGTCCGTAAGGCAAATGACTAGAACTACCAATATAACAATGCAAGGAGAAGGCCATTTATTTATTAACTACCCAAGCCATGTGCACCGCCTTAAAAGCAAGCGACAAACATTTAAAACTAGCGGCAGGGAGAACCTTCAATAAGTAAACGGAAGATGCTAAAGCCCCTCTTTTTTATTCAAGAACAGTCTTTTAGCAGGCCACTGTAATTTGTGAGAAGCAGGGCAAATGGACCACTTCTTTGTGAATTTATTGTCCTTTAAAAAAAGTAAGGGTATTTGAGGACTCACAGTCCCGTGTGGTTGTAGAGTTTGAAAGGTCNCTCGCCTTTTTCTCTCTGCTGACCATACGAAGGCGTGTATAAATATCGCTGAGTTGAAAGTGAAAGTCTTCGCACCAAGAAAAAGGCGCGAGCCATCCCTCATGACGTTTGTACTTCTGGCGAATGATTTCAATATGCTCGGCCACCAAACCAGCTGTTGAGAACAAATGAGAACCAACTTTGTTTTAAATAGTTGTCTAAAACAGCTCGGTTTGCTACTTTCCAAGTCCGTAAGGCAAATGACTAGAACTACCAATATAACAATGCAAGGAGAAGGCCATTTATTTATTAACTACCCAAGCCATGTGCACCGCCTTAAAAGCAAGCGACAAACATTTAAAACTAGCGGCAGGGAGAACCTTCAATAAGTAAACGGAAGATGCTAAAGCCCCTCTTTTTTATTCAAGAACAGTCTTTTAGCAGGCCACTGTAATTTGTGAGAAGCAGGGCAAATGGACCACTTCTTTGTGAATTTATTGTCCTTTAAAAAAAGTAAGGGTATTTGAGGACTCACAGTCCCGTGTGGTTGTAGAGTTTGAAAGGTCGGCATCTATTTTTTAATCTGGGGCTAATACATATCCCACAAGGGACATGATGGAAATAAAAAAACTGTTGCAAAATAAAAACACTGGCTGAACATTACAAAATAAGATGGGCGACTACTCGGTATTGAAACCAAGATGGCCCCCATGCTAGTAGGCGGTTCCAACGCCACCATCCTACAGGAAAATAGCGTTTATGTCATCCTTCATCCTACTCACTGAGAGAATTATTGAAGGCAAATCCATAAGTTGCAGCACTTTGGTCCCTCTTGTGGATATGAAGCTGTTCTTTTGGGACCCAAGAGACATTTGTAAGAAACATACCTACTGATCGATCAGCAATAATGGCTTTAAAGAGCCATCTAAGAGGGATTCTTTTATGGCTGCAGTTTGGGGAAACTGACCTTCCTCTTTGGTCGGAGAGACTTTTAAGGTCTGCAGTGTCTCACTGATGTTTTCTATCCCGCTTTTTATCTTCTTTAAATCTTCTCTTGTTCCATCTGTTAGTGAGAAGAATACACAAAGCAAAATTAGACTTTCATCACACACCCTTTATAGACGATAAGATAAAGTTATGTTTGTTCACAGAATAATTTAACCTTGTAATTGACAGTCTTCTCCATACACGTGATCAATAAAAGCTGATTGGAATAAATTTCATAGCAATATAGCAATACATAAAGTAATTAAAAGAAAGGATGCCCATGTTACGGAATTTGGAATTAACATCGGGAACTGATCCCTCGGCGTTCCTCGGCCTTCCTGATCGCTAATATTGTCTATTTTCTTATCATGTGTTTTATGATTTATATTAAGAGAAATAGCATAGTTTTGTTTATCACTCCTACCTTACAAGGTCTTAAAAAATTTGATATTCAGTTTGTTTAAAACATGATTAGAAGTTAGCTTGACTCAAACAATTCATAAATCTTGCATGGTTTCCTTTTTTGAAACTGACCCCCATACTCTGTCGCGGAATTTTTCATAGCCATCAGCGTCTCACTCATCTTTCCCATTTCACTTTTCATGTGCTCAAGATTACCTATGATTTTAACAGGAGAAAAAAAATTAAGTTACCATCAGTGTCGATCGAACTCGTCAACTGAGATAATAACTAACTCTTCTGCTATTCGCTTGCCACTCTTTTTCTAACACATTTTGTTTATTAATGAATAACCAAGTACGTATATTACTTTTCGTACGTCAAGGTGTATAAAGTTCACATCACTACAACTCACTAATAGAATCACTAGCCTTAAGCTTTAAACTAAACCTGCTTGCAGTCCTTCCGTCGGATGTCAGTTTATTCTTTTTCAAATGTGTTCGCGGTCTTTGGAAGCAGAAGTTAATTTTGGCCAATTCAAAACTTTCAGTTGAACCCCAACTACACCCTATCAAGGTCAGAAAAAGACATTTATTTCTCAAAGGAACTAAACAATGTTCATCTATACCCTCCATTTTATCTAGCTGGTCTTTGATGTTGTCTTCGTCTTTCTTCCATTCCTTTAGCAGCTCCCGGTAATACTTCTTCGCGTCTGGATCCATAGTCTCAGTCTTTAGTTTTTTGATAGCGGCTGCATCTACACCCAGTGCAATCAGTGCGGCACTTATGTCCCGCCACAAAGAATTAAATGTTGGATCGTCAACAGAGGCCTGAATGGCATGCCCATAGACCGAGTTCCTATAGAACTTCACTCTAGCTAAGTTAGCCTCAATACCCGTGTCTGAAGCAGGTGGAAGACTGTCCCAGCCTGTGGCCGGAGCCGCCAGATGACAGATGTTCCTAAGTAGCACAATCAGTAGCGTGATGTCAAAGTCTTCTGATGTTACAGACAATGCAGTAGAGGGATACAGTTTACCCCACTGTGTGGCATTGATGATTTTCTTATTTTTAAGGGATTGCAGGGTCGAATGATTTGCTTTCAATACAGTAGACAGGTTTGCTGGGGAGTGGAATTTGTCAAAAGTGTATCTTAAGGCCTTGGTGCCTCCATCTACTGAAGGGCGACATAATCTTGCGTAATTAGTGGTCTCCTTGGTGGATGAAGCTAATGTTGGAGCAGAAGCCATCAGAGTAAACCTGCAAAATGTAATTTAGATCCCTATAATAAAAAAGGACTCAAATTTTCACTTATGTTATATGCTCTATTTTTCACTAGTGCCCTAAGTTGGAATTTGCTCTTTAAAACAAGGGTTTTACATGAGTTGTTTGCGTGGACATAAAAAAATGAATCAGGGATTTGTAGTTATCAAGAAACCTTAAACATTTTCTGGTGAAGTTAAAGGTTTCTCGGTATTAGGTTACCGATGCCAATTTTTAATGAGAAAGAATTAAATTGACAAACATCTCAGGTTTTAGTAACCCTCAACGAAATATAGTCAAAGTTAGGAACCACAAGAAATACAACTAGAGCGTCTCTGGTTACCGATGCGGGAACATTAACATTACTATTTGCATTTACAAAGAAGAGTGATGACGTAAATCAGAAAGAAACCTAAACATTGTCATCAATATGATTTTTTTCAAAAGAGTTAACAGTACCTACTAAAAGTCGTGCAGCGTCAAGAAAGACTAAGAGAAGATGCCAGTGAGAACAAAGAAACGAATTTCTCCTACTAAACACGAATCGATCGCTTGTCTGGAAAGCAATAAACAACATGCCTTCATGTGCTCGGGTACTCGCCCGCTAACAGCAACTGTTTAAAGGCTAACAACTAATCGATATACTGAGAAGAAGTATTTTGAGATTGCTTCTAACAGCCTTTTTGTTAAGCCTTTTTACTTAGGAGAAACTATACCATGATCCTATGATCAGAACCTACAAATATGCTAAGACATCAAAATTCTCGTTCAGCTTACCACCTTCTCTACGTCAAAGACTTTTCGTCGCTTCAGGGTGGTTTAGGAATCAATTCATCCCTGAAAGGTGCTAGTCAGACAACCAGAGAGTTCGTGTTCCTTTGAAGGTTTCTCCTGAAACAAAAATGGTAATGTACAATGTTTCCTGATAGCGATGAGATAATCAGACAGACGGTACACTCACGCGAAGTCAATTAACTGGCAAATACCTGTGCAAACTGATGCCTGTTGTCAAAGAAAAGGTACTTAACGGACGACTCTCTACGTACATCAACTAAAGCGAGGATCCCAGTGCCATTTTAATTTCCTCAGACGCAACTGCGTACTTCTGAAAAGAATGGGAAGTACCACTGTGGAAAGATCACGAGTTCGGAAATGCCATCAATTATACGCGACGTAGCGTGACCAAAGTTAATTTAGACACGCGATGTAGAAAGTCACACTATGCTAAGATCACGGGATGTATCTAACGCAGGCCTAGTGCCAACCCCTGCTAAAGGAAAATCTGGAGGCTCTTGAAATAACATCGGGAGATTCTACAAAAAGTAGTGAGATTCTATTTTTTCCCGATCAAGATTAAACGAACCCTTTTTCCATTGGGGGAATTATTTGTTTGTTTAAATATAACCGTGCTTTGCTGTGGTCTCCCTGACAACAAATTAGATACCGCTTTTTCTTTGATGAATTTAAGAGGGCAGAGAATAGGTCATCACGTGGACGAAACTTACAGCAAAGGGTCGTTTTTTCCTGATAAGCCAACTTCATGGCTAAAGTGTTTGACAAAGTTCCATCAAGGGGTAAACAGGCACCAGCATTCCCCACGAAATTTCCGTTTTTATCCATCAGGGTAACATTTCATTTCAGAATGAGGTGTTGTCGTGAGGCCGTGAGAAAAGATAAAAATTCGTGAGACTCACGGCAGAATCGTGAGAGTTGTCAGGTCTGCTAACGTGATTTTGTGAATTGCAGATGTCGAGCCATATCACCATTGACATGGAATTCCAGGCGGGTGTTATGGGAGAATTTGTGAGTACAGGTAATTCGGGTTCCTATGGTGGTATAGGTGTGTAACTTTGGAACGATACGCCATCAGGATTTCTATTCTGTCACGTCAAATGAAAGAAAGGCTATACTCCATATCCTCGAACTCTCGACCGGACCCATCAGGTTAGCTAACAGTTTCGAGGGCGACAAAAATGGCACCAAAAAGTTCCTCACTCAAGTTTCCCCGCGACATCCAAACAGATAAGTACCTATTAGGGCAGCTTCAAGCATGCGTCTAAAGAGAAAAAACTACATTTGAGGCACTTGTTTTGAAACATTCGGTCGTTGGGTCCCACTGAAGAGAGGACAAGAACTGATCATCCTGATAAGTGGATATCAATTTGCTTAGCACTGAAGATTCCTTCAAGATTCAAATTCAGATCTTCTTTATTTTTTTATATATTTCAAGATGTTTCTACTACATTACAATATAGCACAAGAACAGAGAAAAAAGAACAGCAAATTACAAATGCATATCATGAAAGGTAAAATTTGTGCAGTGACCAAAGTGCTGAGCTACATGTAATAGAGAAAAAAAAGTCTTACTTACAATTTTACGTAAAAGAAAAACAATAAAATTGATAGATCATAGAGATAATTATCAGTAGTAGGCACTGACAGAGAAATCAAATTACTAGAATCTCTGCCTTGAGTTCTTGTTTGATACTGGGTAAAAATTCTTCTTTCCACGTACACCCGAATCTCGGCCCCATTTGCTTTAATATCCCGAATCCCGATATTCAAATAAGGCAAATCCCGCATCTCGAAAAACCCGGCTATTGGGGTCCCTCTTAGCAGTCTGTCCCTCTCCATCTCTTGCACGATGGGACAATTAGGAAAGAGCCCTGAGAAAGAGGTCATCGGTTTCTTTCTTGCATTTTATCTTCTACTTTTTGATTCTGTTATTTATTTTTTTACTGTTAGCACGGTAAAGAATCATTGATATCTCCCCAATAAAAGACCTGCTTTGTTCCTTCTGCAGACTGCGTGATCAGTGAATCCATTCTTCCATCATACAAACCAAACACCCCACCTGAAAAATAAAAAAATGGCATCTTTAACAAGAGCCATTCGCTGGGGGCGCATATCTGTCATATACATCGTAAGGCCCGGGTGGCTCAGCGTGNGTCCCTCTTAGCAGTCTGTCCCTCTCCATCTCTTGCACGATGGGACAATTAGGAAAGAGCCCTGAGAAAGAGGTCATCGGTTTCTTTCTTGCATTTTATCTTCTACTTTTTGATTCTGTTATTTATTTTTTAACTGTTAGCACGGTAAAGAATCATTGATATCTCCCCAATAAAAGACCTGCTTTGTTCCTTCTGCAGACTGCGTGATCAGTGAATCCATTCTGCCATCATACAAACCAAACACCCCACCTGAAAAATAAAAAAATGGCATCATTAACAAGAGCCATTCGCTAGGGGCGCATATCTGTCATATACATCGTAAGGCCCGGGTGGCCCAGCGTGGTAGATTTTCAGGCTATTTATAGATCCATTTGTGGCGCCAAAATACTCTCAACCAATTACAGCAGAGGGGTGGTGAATGAGGTCGACGGAGTGTTTGGCGAGGAGAGTTTAACTGGCTGAAGAATCTTGGACGCTGTGAGAAACAATATAAGGAAACTATGGCACGGAGGTCAACTGCCATGTTGGACTGCGCACGTTTGTGAACACAGCTAATATAGCGAGATAAGAAATCTAAAAACAGCACTTATTAGTATCCAATGGACTCTTCGGATTCCGTCATATATCTCTTAGGTCAATGTACAGTGTAAGCAAGTATACAGTATGCATTTTTGTTTTTCAGTACTCAATTAGTGACATTAGCATTAGGTATACCTCCTTACCTCCGGGGGTATACCTATCGCCAGACTGACAACGAGTATAAAATTTGTATTTCGCGTAGCATATTGACAGGGGAGTGTGAATTATTGAATTTACAACATGCTTCTCAACAAAGACAGAAAGCCTAAATTAAACCCCCAGTCAGACTGAGGAAGATAGTGATGAAATCTTGTACCTGTATGGATGTAAAGTACTCTTTTTCCTTTGAATCTACCAGGATTACTCTTCATCTCTGTGAACATTCCTCTAATTGCCTTTATATTGTACACTGGATCTACCAATATTCCAGTTGTTCTTGAGATCTCAATAATATTCTCTGCAATTTGAAAACAAAATACAACGCACACCTCTTATTGCGTCACACCAAACGTCTCAGTCAATTGCTACATTGTATTTTACTAGTGACTCAGTCAGTTCTTCCCCTCAAAGTCTTTGAAGTTGGTAACATGACAGAATATATGACGTCACAGAGAAATATTGCCAAAGACTTAGCTGGAATCAGTTGTATTGTAATTTGTATGTCATGTGAATTGAAGGAGCCAGAAAGATTGCCCATGTTTTCGAATTAAACTAAGTGGCAAACCTATGAGAAGAGTCAGGGATAGCGGGGGATGTTTTGGGAGTTGCAGGTACAGTCTAGTGTGCATTATTCCGTAATGTTTTACCAAGCAACTTTAACAGTGTGCACAAATGGATCCCCCTTTCAAACACTTCTTCTGTTTGACCACCAGACTACCCACCTGCCTCATATCGATTGAGCATTAAATTTCGTTGTACCTCGATATGTCGCAGCTCTTTTGTTTCGGGGCTAAGGTCTATTCTTAACTTTGTTTATTCATTGTTTTCCCAACCAATCCCGTGAGCAGTTGAATGCACCTACTCACACTCCTTTTGCATCCGTCAACAATATCGCCTTCTGCTTGAAAAACAATTTAGCCAGTCCTAACAAGCGTGCACCTAGTTCATGTTGAGTTAACAAACCATAATCTCCCCCTTTGTATCCATCAATAATATCTATAATATCTTCTGCTTTGACATCAATTCACCCAGTCCTACCCACCTAGTTCATGTTGAGTTGACACACCATATCCTCCCCCCTTGTAGCCATCAATAATATCTATAATATCTTCTGCTTTGACATCAATTCCCCCAGTCCTACCTACCTAGGTCATGTTGAGTTGACACACCATAATCTCCCCCTTTGTATCCATCAATAATATCTATAATATCTTCTGCTTTGACATCAATTCCCCCAGTCCTACCTACCTAGTTCATGTTGAGTTGACACACCATAATCTCCTCCTTTATACCCATCAATAATATCTATAATATCCTCTGCTCTAACGTCAATTCCCCCTCTCCTAAGGTCTTCATTGATTTTATTGTAAAAGTAAGCTGCATTGTCAGACACATTAACTGCATGGCATCTACAAAGTTAAAAAGAGGCAAAATTTTTCTTCTCCTTTTTTTTTTTACAAAGTTATATACGGAGAGGCTTTGCCTGAAGGTCCAATCCCTTACCATTTACATTATACACCATTTTTTACAGAAAAGGTCCCCCTTTCGTATACCTTCTATTGAAAAATGGTACCCCTTTCACACACCTAGATTAGAACTCTGCGACCCTTTTAGCTGCTGTAAATTCACTGTCTTTTCATATGAATAAACCACTAAGCCAGAGCATTTTCTCAACTATTTCACAGCCACAAAAATAATGCATATGTCAGCCCTTTTGGTCCTTAGTTACAGCGAGACCAAAATCACCGATTTCCCTATTTTTTTGTATACTCGAAATTCCTACGTTTTCTTATACACTGTACCAAAACAGGGGTGTAGCCAGCTTTTTGACTAGTTTTAGGCATGGCTGACTGTCATTTCCACACATCCTGAAAATTGCACGCATAGCTCGTACGCACTGACCTCACCAACACTTTGAGCTCGTAAGCTTTTTAGCTCACCCCAACAATGCATAGTTAAACTGTTTATTACACACGGTAGAGTGATCAAAATTTGTAGGCCCAGCTCTACTGGTCTGTGGGCTGGCTACGCCCCTACTGAAGCCTAAAAAATGGTGCCCCCTCTGAGGGGAGCCTCTCCTCCACTGGAAGTTCAGCCGATCAAAACTATCAACTGTAAACTCATGAATAATTCATTAAGAAGCAGTAGATCTCTTTAATTAGCCACAACTTTTTTTCAAATCTTACTGGCCGAGCCATAAAGATTCAAAATTTCACTTTTCCCAACAAAAGAACAGAAGCAAAACAGAAAGAAAAGCAAACATAGGTTTTGAATTGCAATGGGGACAGTTTGCTTTGCTTTGCTTTTCCTTCTTTATTTCTTTTTGACTGACTAGAAAGTGCCTTAACTACTGCCTTTCAAGGCCATTGATTTTTTTTGTTTGTTTGTTGTTGTTTTCTGTTTACCAAGTAGTCCACTATCATTGCCTTAAAAATTAAAACATTAATTTACATTGCTTCAATTATTTTTCTATATATACTCTATTTTCATTTTGTACTTTTTTTAATTTACAGTATATTACGTTGCTTAGCCAGGAACACTACCTCTATTAGTGAAAACAGGTCAGAAAAATGGAGTAATTTTGCCTTTGAAGGCTCTATATCAACCCTTATGATAAATTTTCCAAAACCAAAAAAAAAAAAAATACAGAAAATTGGCATTTTCAGTCATAATCCATAGAAAACTGATCACATTTTGAGCAAAGCACAAATATCTCTTTTAACCAAGCAAACGCATGGTTGAATATAAATAACTATTATTTCAATGCAAACTGGAGCCTTACTTGAGTTTTGAGCCAGTCAAGTAATTGCCAATAGCAATTCCTGATGCTGTTCCTCTGCTGCCAACAGTAACTACAATATCATCATAATCTTGCAACACATTCTGAATAAATATGAAAAACATCCAAACTTTAAGTGAAAACTACTAAGAACTCACAAATTACAACTACTTAACAAAAAAAAAATAATAATCTAAAAAATATACATGTATGGAGCTGGATTGATCAACCCTTAATTCAATTATACTTCTTTAAAAGAACAGTGCACACTTGACATGTACTATTAAGCAGATGCCTATGGTACTGGCCTCAATAGCACCTTCTTCATAACTTGGATGTCTGTTCAATAAAGTTACCTTCAAGTGTACATTGAAGCACTCACTATAAACACCCATGTTTGCTAAATAGACTGGTGTACAGAAAATACTTCTGCTCTGCTATGATAATTTTATTTTTTCACTTCAAAGCCCCATTTGGATTGCGATTAATCCTTAGAATTTGCTCTTAAATTCATCTCAAGTCATTACTAACTGAATGCCATACAAAGCAACAAAGATGACCAGAGAGGAAATTTGACAGGGTTGCTACAGCCAGAGGTTTCTGAAATTCCCGATTTTCCTTGACGTTTTCCCAAATGTAAAATTTCCTTGACCCATTGAATTAACAATGGCACAAATCAGTCCTGATAAAGTACTCAAAGCATCTCTCACAGCCTGATCCCCTACAGCCATTTTAATATTAATTTATGCTTTCAGCAAGACACATGGCAGTGTACACGAATTGATAGTTTCATAACATAAAGTGCAAAAACGCTCGATTTTCTTGAAAACCCAACATCAGCTTGTTCTTCAATTTCACGAACAATGTAACATGATTCATGTCCATAAAATGTAAAAAATGTACTCTGACTTAAAACTTCACTTTTCCCTGACTTCTTTCAAAGACTAAAATTTTCTCTGGCTTGAAGTGAAATTCCCTGACTTTCCCCTGACCTTGAGGAATTTTTTTCCCTGACCATTTCCTACCCTATGACAACCATGTTTGACATTTAAGATGCTTCCTGGAAAAAATTTCTGTCAAGGGAATTCTGATCAGTGCTACAATGTACATGTTGATTTTCTTTTCAAATTACCTTTCAGGGCCGTAGCCTGACTTCAGAACAAGAGGAGGCAAGTTTCGAGCACGAAAGGCGCAAGCCGCTAGGGGGGTGTGGGGGCATGCTCTCCCAGAAAAGTTTGAAATTTAGAGGCTCAGAAATGCTCTTGTAAGCATTTTCCGTGGCATTTTTCTTCAGACAAGTCAATCTTGGGCAAGTGTAGATGTTCACTTTTTAATTGCTTAGTGATACTGGTGACAAGTTAATGACCATCTGCATTTTAAAGCATTTGAAAAACCGCTACTCACAGTTAACATAAAACGAATTAGCCTCATTAATTTGTTTTGCTTTGTTTGCTTGAAAAGATAAAGGGAGAAATTGAAAATAATATTGAGATGAAAAGTCACCTACTGGACCTTAGAAATCATTTTTTGAATAGATACATGTCATGTATTATAGGCAAAACTAAATTCAGTTTTTTTAAACCT